ACACTGACCTGCGTCTGAGCAGAGGGTGCGTGGGTAGTCCGTTGGTTCGTCCTCCCGATCCGCCCGCTGCTGCTCACTGGCGAGAGAGGAGGGTGAGTGTGATACGGCTCTGGATCGTCCACAACCCCCTGTCCCCTCAGGGGACCCAGAGAAAGAAGAAATTGCTCTTTTGTTGAGAATTTGGGTACCACTGGCCGCGAGGTCAGTGGTAGAAAAAAAGGAAACAAAAGATTCTCCACCCGGCCCTCCTCCGGGGGAGGAAGTGGTGTGTTCACCATCTCCCAAAGAGCAACTCCCTCCATCTCTGGGTCGCCCGTCTCAGGGTCTCTTGCTCCTTCGCTTACCACCAGGTCTAGCGGGGGCCTGGACGGGCGGGGCTCCTCGGCGCAGTTTTGCTGGAGGCTGCTTCGGCGACGAGCGGGCTGAGGAGCTGCCACCGGCGGCCGGGTGGAGGCAGCAGCTGCACGCCGGGGCAGGATGTACCTGATGGCCTCAGTCTGCTTTTGGGCAGCGGAAAACTGCTGTGCGAATTTCTCCACCGTGTCGCCGAAAAGGCCGGTCTCCACCTGGGCCGGTTTCTGGCAGTGAAAGGTGCTGTCCATGACCCAGCGATCTCATCATGCACCTCCGGGAAGAAAGGCACTGGGGTGGGGCCCTGAGAACCAGCACGGGCCACCCCGACAAACCAATCGTCCAACCTTGAAGGTTCGGGACGCGGTGGAAGATTCCACTCGAGCCCGACTCTCTCGGCGGCCCGGGAAAGCATAGCCATCATTTCCGGGTCCGTCTCTGGCACCGCTGACCGCCCAGAGGGCGTCAACGCTGACGGATCTTCATCCCCGGAAACGTCCGGCTCACCCTCCGAGGCTGCAAATGACATCCGATTGTCGGGGGGAGCCTCGGAAGAAACAGGTGGTACCCCCTGGGAGGGTCCAGCCTGCTCTTTTGAGAGCTTCGCTGGTTTCGCAGTGCCGGCGGGTTTGGGCGTCCCCGGAGGGGAATTCCTCACCGTGACGTAAGACCAGTCCGCCCACCGCTAGAAAAAGTGGTGCCAGGTAACGACCGCACCCAGAAACACAAAACATTTTAAAAATGACATCTTTAAAAAGACACATCTTTAAAAAGACGTTCCACCCGTGAAGCTCTTTTAGAATGGAAATTGCTCTTTTAGTGTGCTGAACGCACAGGGGAGATGGCCGTCTGTAACACACACAGGGGTAGTGCAGCCTGTTGTGTGCAACCCACTCGACACGGGAGAACACCCGCCGCTGAAGCGCCGTACCACCAGCACGAGAGCCCACCGAAGAGCGTGCTTGACTGTAGTTTTTCTCACTACTGTAGGAAGGTCAGGAGCAGAACGATATAACCGTGAAAAGCTGAATATGTGCTGCATCTGCTGCCTACTTATACTCACGCTGTGATCAACAGCAGCTGGATGCAATAATCGCATGCCAATGTGCATTGGCTCGTTTAGTTTACACTCGAAGTAGATTGGTCCCTCTAAGCGAGATCCCAATTCGTCGGTCATCCGACGTGACGTCGAGAGTGACCGACTGAAAGGGAACATTATATTACATAGTATAATCATGGTCAGTGCAGACATGTACTTGAACTTACTTTCTAATCGACTCTAACTGCTCCTTGCTAGTCCAGTCAGAGAAGTAGAATGAAGATGAAGTCCACTGTCTGACTTCAAGCACTGCTCGGTGTTCACAGCTGTCTGAGGAACTTCTGCCATTTCTTCTGCGATGACACTTCTCTTGGTTACTACAAAACATAGGTTAAAAGACATTTGTGGCACATTTAAGAGAAATATTCAGTTATTCCTGTACGTCTCTACATGCTAAGTGAAGAAGCAACTAAAGTAGCAACAAAACTGTGATTCTGTGTTTTATTGTAATCAGTTACATGTGTTTTGGCAGTGGTGAGCACCTGTTACATATAAGTCTGCTTACTTTTAGCAACTGTAAAAGCAGGACACAGCTACTGCAAATGATCTCAGGCATATTGATGCATTTCAATTTTAAATTTACCATTGTAAAAATCACTGCAACTAGCTTATATAGGCTTTTTAGTTAACAGGTTATTTGAA